ATTCGAGAAGAAAAAAAAATTATTACACACACACATATATGTATATATATTATAATATACTGATTCATCATCGAAATTTCTATAAACGTAAAACGAATAATGAAATCGATTATTCCTTTTTTCCTTTCCTTCTATCTATCTACCTATGCATCTTTCGTTTCGTTTCGTTTTTCTTTTCTTTCTTTTTCTTTGTTCTGTTCCTTTGTTTTTTCATTCAAGAACAATATATATCTCTGAAGCAATCAAGGGGCAGATCAGCGGTCAGGTCAGGATTACTCAGCTTCATTCCCATGTCAAACGCTATGCTAGATTTAATCAACATATTCTGTAGCTCCTAACCTCTATCGAATCTTGAACCGATACCGATTTCGTCGATCGGACGTATACCGCACACAAGAGATAATACTACTTTCAGCGTGCAAAGATTAAAGTACGCGGTACACGTATCGATCAAGACGTCTCTCGTGCATGGGTGTTTACGGCCATCGCACTCTCGTTTTACAACTCGATATAAATGCATGCAGCTCTAAGATCTATCCTAGCTGTCTAAACACAATGTTTTTCTCTTCTTCGAATTTTTCAATTCTTCTTCGGCTGTTACTTTTACCAAGTTATTTTTTTTTTTTTTTAATCTCTCTCTCTCTCTGTCATCACGACGAATCGTTGGCGTGAACGGCTCGCCGGAACTTCTCTCCGCCTGTTGGTTTTTTTTTTCTATTTCTTTTGCTTATTTTTTTATTTTGTTTGTTTGTTCATACGTGTTTTAAGGGGTTTTTTTTTTTTTTTTAATCTCTCTCTCTCTCTGTCATCACGACGAATCGTTGGCGTGAACGGCTCGCCGGAACTTCTCTCCGCCTGTTGGTTTTTTTTTTCTATTTCTTTTGCTTATTTTTTTATTTTGTTTGTTTGTTCATACGTGTTTTAAGGGGTTTTTTTTTTTTTTTTAATCTCTCTCTCTCTCTGTCATCACGACGAATCGTTGGCGTGAACGGCTCGCCGGAACTTCTCTCCGCCTGTTGGTTTTTTTTTTCTATTTCTTTTGCTTATTTTTTTATTTTGTTTGTTTGTTCATACGTGTTTTAAGGGGTTTTTTTTTTTTTTTTAATCTCTCTCTCTCTCTGTCATCACGACGAATCGTTGGCGTGAACGGCTCGCCGGAACTTCTCTCCGCCTGTTGGTTTTTTTTTTCTATTTCTTTTGCTTATTTTTTTATTTTGTTTGTTTGTTCATACGTGTTTTAAGGTGTTTTTTTTTTTTTTTTTGCCAGAGGACAGAGCTATGCTCCTTACCGAAAGAGTGCTGAGTTTAAAAAGGATAAATTGTGTTTAAAGAACGATCGTTACTCAAAAATGAAGTGGGGGGGAGTGGGGGCGGGGGGAAAGTTTCAAGTTACAAATTCTCGGAACTATCGTGCCGTGTTGGAACTGCTTTAAACTCATTGATCAAACGAGTGGTGTTTGCTTTTTTTTCTCTTTTCTGCTTTAAAAGACAATCAGCCATCTCAGCACTACAGTTTCTCTTACGATTGCTCGAAGCTTGTCCAGCCGTTGCGAAGAAACTCGGTTCTCGAACGTTATTGGTGCAATTTTCGCGACATTTCACAATTGATAAATCGCTATTGAATATATTATTTCGGCAGCACGTTGGATTACTAATAGAAAAAATGCACTGCACCTCTAACGTTATTTCTACAAATTGATTTCCATTTTTTTTTTTCCCCTCCTGACACACATTTCACCTCGAAATTTCTGTTTCCTTTTTATCATTTTTCCCCTCGCACCGTGATCTCGCGTTGTCCATTCTTGTTGTTCTGTACAAATTGTTGGTTTCTCCTTCTTTCTTTTTTTTCCCCCCCCACGGTTTTGCAAAAATAAGAAAAATCGTCTTGGTGATTCACTTTTTTTCTTCCCCCCTCTTCGTCTTAAACGGATACCTCTTTTCATTCGTAGTTTTTTATAGTTTTCCAAGAAGGGACAACGAGACAGACGGCACACCGAAATGCATCCTTCTTTCTTTTCTATTTTTTGCTCGCCCGTTTGAATTAACGGCGAGATACATACGTTGCAATAAATATTAACGTAGGTCTTGGTACGTGTTTCTGGAACGTACGAAGATCTCGAGGTTTGCTTTTTCTTTTCGTATAACATTCGGAAACCGTACGCTTTATAAAACCTGCGTTGGCTGCTGAGCTGGTGTAGACACTGGACCAGCAGCAGAAGCAGGCGGTCCGATCGGACCAAGATCACCTCCACCACTTGAAGCACCAGCAGGCGTTGCCACCCCCATTGCAGACGCAGTTTTCATGAAGAACTTCTCCAGCTTGACGATAATGTGCTTGCCGTAGGTGTACTTGCGCAAGCTACCTAAGTGTGGGCGGATCTTGTGCATCAATACTTTACGTTGTGCTGGTTCTGCTACATCGATCATCTTCTGAACCACGTAGTTGGCATACTGATCCTTCATCATGACGTTTAATGCGCTGATTAGGAGAAAACAGAACAAGTACATATTTTACGTTAAGTACACATTTTGCTTGTAGCGTCGAATAAAACTCCAACGAGCAAGAAGATCAATTGTTAAACTTACTTGTCGTTAAATCCGCACACTTCTTCAATGAGTACAGAACGCTCTTGTCTTGTAGCATGGGTCACGCATTTCTCAACCACGTTACTCGCGAATTTGTGTTGTGAGAGGGAAAGTACCTTTCCTCTAACACTGCTGATTAATTGTGCCTTGTCTTCTGGCTTTCCATGTTCTTTGAAAGAAAAGAATACGTAGAAATCAAACATATATTCATCGAACAAGAGAGATATAAAGACGTTCTTTGAGCAACGAGACACTTACCAAGCACATGCTGGATAACGTAATTGCCATACTGATCTTGAATGAGCTGATCAGTGGCAGCATGTAGCTCGCCAAGGATACCTTGAGTCTGTTCAGTAGTGCAGTGCTCGAGAATACGTTGAATCACTCTACAACCATATGGATGGGTGCTCAGAGAATAAACCTGACCGGCGAATGCACCGATCACGAACTGCAGTGCTCGTGGTTCGACGCATTCGATACATTTTTGCACGACGTGATTTCCATTTTGATCTTTAACGCATTTCAATACGTGACCGTCCAGCTCTCGGACAATCTCTTGCTGTTGCTCCGGTCCGATCGATTCGAGGGCTTTCTGAATCACTCTACAACCGTACATCTGCAGTGCCAAAGGCAGTACGTGGCCTCGAACCTGGCGAAACATTCGATAAAACATGATATGCAACGAAATCGACAAAATCTTGCTCGCAATCTTTTCAATTACATCGATCAGATTAAATAGATGGTCTATCAGTGTACAAAATCAGTTGACACGCAAAGTTCTACATCACGTTAGATATACTACAGCGATACACGAGTAAAACCCTAATCGCCAGGCAATTACCTTTTGAGCAAGTGTGGACTTCTGTTCAGGCGTACCAAACTCGAAAAACTTCTGAATAACATAATTCCCAAAGACGTCCGTCATCAATGAGTAAGCAGAGGTGAGAATTTCCTGGAATACAAGCTGTTTTTCGCTGACAGAGGCACGTTCCAATTTCTGCTGAATAAAACGGGAGCCGTGCTGATCTTGACTGAACTCGACTATGTGGTTGGCCAGATCGCGCAGCTGAAGGCTCGGGAATCTAAAGCACATGCGAAGAAAATATCCTCGTAACATTATCTATCTCTGTGCAACGTGACACTCGGCAGCAGCAGTGTCGTCTGAACGATAAACCGATGATAAAACGTACCGGTTATTCCTGAAGTCTTCCAACAAGCGTGATCGTCCTCCCGCGTTTTTATCACCGATGCTGGTGGTACCGCCGCGTCCTGGTTTGCCCACTAAGTTCGGGAAAAGAGAGCTACTGGAGCCGAAAACCCCATTAGCCGTTAAAGCTGGGACTGCACTAGCACGGAACTTGGCTTCAGCGCCGGGGGCAGCTGATACTCGGCTGGCTCCACCGACCAGTCCACCTAAAGACCCTCCCAAAGTTGGCGGTGGCGTTAAGGATAATCCTAATGGGCTTGGTGACGCTGTTACCGTGCCTGTAAATGAGATCACGTGAATTTAACCAAACGTACTTAACGTGTGCAAGCATACATACACACATACATGTACAGAATATAGAAACGGCTCTCTATGCAAAGGAATATTTACCTAGTGCTCCGTAACTCTGTGGCCACTTTGCACGGCTGTATTCGAGGCTAGGGCTGAAAGCAGATGTGTTTCTATCGAAGGAGTCTCTTCGCGCGGTTGACGAAGCGCCAAGGCCCAGACCTGTAATCAAAAAGAAGAAAACATGATTTTCATAGGTTACATACGGTTAACAAAATGGCGGGGTCACCGATCCGATTTTAAAATACAAAAGACGTCACTGGAAGGATAATACACGTTGTGTAAGAAGACAAACGATACGCTCTCGCAAAGCATGCAAACATATACGTTCATATTCGTTCTATGTATGTACAAAAGAGAATGTATATGTATATATGTATATATATATGTATATATGTATATCGAGGACGACGACGCCGACGCCTGAAACTGAAAACTGTAAAAGACAGTCGGTTTTTTTTTTCTTTCGTTTCTTTTGTCTCGCTTTTTGTTATTTCTTTAGTTTATTGAATTAATAAAAAAAAAAAATGATCGTCTCTCGTTGCCGTTCGTTGGTGGTAGAATGTGTACCTGTGCTCTGTAGCTGAGCTGGTGAGCCCAGTGCTCCCAGAGGGGAGCCGCCATATCCTAGGGCCGCTAAACCAGCGGCCAGTCCCGATCCTTGCTGTTGTGCCTGCTGCACCGCGACCGCCTGAGCTTGTGCAACCACCGCTGCTGCACTGCACGCCGCCAGACCTGCACCAAAAGCCCGCAACCCACACACGCTCTTAGTTGTCAATTAATTGCCGTTACCTTACTGACCTTATACCGTCTATAAGCCTAGCGGTACACCGTTCCAAATGAAACACATACACACGCACGCTTCTCGACATGGATGTATTATTTCCCATAGTAAAAACAAATTCACAGATTGTTCTTTTTTTTTTCTTTTTTTTAGTCACGAGGTTAATTTATATATGTATATATGTATATATAGATGGATGTACAGGGTGTTTCGAAACTTGAGGTCGAATTGAGAAGATTCAGGAGGTCGACGAATAGATATTAACCCTTTTGCTACGGTAAATTTTTAAGCACGGCGGGAGAATTTCTTATTCTGACCGTACCGGTTTATTAAATTACGGTGGAAGTGCATCAAAAGGCTCCAACAGTATAGAGCGAGTAATTTTTCAGGCGCCAATAGTAATGGAAGGGTTAAAGAGTTACGAAGAATGAAAAAATTGTTGTCCATTAAGATAAGAATAGCTATTTCGTCGAAAGTTACAATTTAAAGCTTCACAAAGTTGAGAGAACAATAATAACAGTCGTTTGTTTATCAGTAACCATACAAAGCTACGAAACCGAGCTTGAACCTGAACAACCATTTGTTTATTCCTCCTAACTCCTCAATAAATCATACATATGAACATTATTCCACCTGTTCAACTATCTGAACACGCCACATCAATTTGGCACGCAACTTTTGAAACGCCCTGTAGACGTGTATACACGTATGTACATAGAGACAACAGAGAAGTTATTTATATATTAATCCTGAAGATATTCGTCGGTACTTGAATTATGTGTGCCATGCATGTATGTATAAAGACTATGTATACATATTTATATACTTCAAAAAAAAAAAAGAAAAAAAAAGAATGAACACATATCTACAATGTATAAGTAAGAATGCTGATCAGCAGTGTCTGGATGTATATATATATATATGTATATTTAATTACACAGCCTTCTAAACTGATTTTGCAAACGCCTCCTTACCCAAACATTCGCCAGGCGTCGCGTTACTGTGCGACGTCGGCGTTGGCTGTGAATATAGACTCGGTGGTGGAGGAGCTGGTGGTCCCGGTGGCGGTTGCGACGGAGCTCTGTTCACCAAAACTGGCGCTGGACTGACTAATCTCATGGGGGTTGCCGCGGAGCTCAATCCGCGCACTCCACCCATCACGATCGATCCATTTTGATCGTAATACGCTGGTATCACCTGATACTGTCCTTGAACCTGCACAAAACAACCGTTTCACCTTCAGTTACAACGCGCTCAGTTGTATATGCGTACGTTGTAAATAAACGCGGAGCAAGCGCGATAAAACAGGCAGAACAAACAAGAGAGGACTAATTGGCAAATATTACGTTGTTGAAAGGTAGATTTCGAAAGGATCGAGCTCTTGGTTGTAACCAGAAACGTTAATGGGCCGGTAAATTGCTGCTCAAAGTTTATATTTAATCCTCACGGTCGACCTTAATCGAGAAACGTTCAACAGGCTCTGACCAGCAGGGATAGGAATGTACAGTGAATCGTGCGAGTGTGTTTGTCAATGGTACAATGAATATGTACAGCTCGTTATACGTTTCTATTAGGATTATTTCGTGCCGGGGAATTGTGAAGGTAGGAGCTACGATAGAAACGAGATGTCCAAAGTGTTAGTTCTGTGTTCGAGTATAGAGATCTCTATCTTTTGGTAACGTTCTTTCTGAGTTATGTCACAACCATAACCAATTTACAAAATTCCGATTTACTCGGCAAAGGTGTTAAATACCCAACAGAGATCTCTATCGCGCGAAGAAAGATTGTACACAAAAAGCACAGGAGCGGTCCAGAACAATACAATTTAAGGCTTATCATCGAACTCTTCCAAAAATCCTCTCATCAACCATAGAAATTTACAAAATTCCGATTTACTCGACAAAGGTGTTAAATACCCAACAGAGATCTCTATCGCGCGAAGAAAGATTGTACATATAAATAACCGAAGCGATTCGGGAAAATAGGATTTAAGGTTCTTCATCAACTCCTCTAAAAACTCTCTCAGCAACCACAGAAATGAACAAAATTCCGATTCACTCGGCAAAGGTGTTAAATACCCAACAGAGATCTCTATCGTGCGAAGAAAGGCTGCGGTACACATAAAGCACCGAAGCGATCTGCGACAATAGAATTTAAGGTTCATCATCGGACTCTTCCAAAACTCCTCTCATCAACCACAGAAATGAACAAAATTCCAATTCACTCGGCAAAGGTGTTAAACGCCCAATAGAGATCTCCACCGCGCGATGAAAGGCGTCGCGGTATATATGGAGCAGAAGAGAAGTGATCCGCGACAATAGGATTTATTTCTAAACACGTGCGCAGAAATTGGTATCCGTCTAGATCGGAGGGGAGGGGAAAAACAGACTAATTAGCCGCTTACAGTCTGGGCCAAATTATTTGCAGTGTCTTGGGCGGCAGCTGCCGCGGCCGCGGCCGATGATGGTGTCAGCGGTCGCCTGGGTGGTGGAGGCGCCGCGGCCTGAGGTGGTGCTTGCGGTAGTAATCCAGCTGGATAAACCCATGGTGCGACCCCATAGTACTGTGGCACAACTGGAGGCGGTGCACCGGTTATCAAAGCTCCGACGTACGGTTCCTGTCCGCTGATCACCGTATACGGCGCCGTGGGAAAGTTCTGCTGTTGTTGTTGCTGCTGCTGTTGCTGCGCCTGCGACGCAGCTAAAAACTGTTGCTGTTGTTGTTGCTGTTGCTGTTGCAGTAGCTGTAATTGCTGTGGCGTGGCCCCTTGCGGCTGACTTCGGAACAGTTGCTGTAACAGAGAAAGGAACACACAGGGGTCAGTTATTTCTACGAAGGGTCACTATATCTCTTCTATGCACGGGTTACGCTACGAGTGGTTAATTATCCTTCTCTTAAGGTTAAGGTAGTTATTTCATCGTGTTTGCGTGTTGTACTCCTCTTTACGAGGGGTATAGGGCTTGATTATGAGGAAACGGAAATAACGATCGGAGGTTTGAAACACAATTTCGTATTTCTTACTCTCCTCGGCGAGGACTCTGACGTAGGAGAGCTGCTGCTTTCACAGAGCTGTGTGATTATCGTTACCAACTGATCGTACCTACTAAACCAAACGATACATTGTAAATTAGCTACACGTTTTTGGTGGAGTCCCTTACACGTTGAAATATTACCGCACATAGATCGTCCCTCTAAACGTGGGCACAGGTCCACGAAGAAGATCGATATAGCCGACGAAATATGTCAGAGGATCGAAGAATTCTCTTTCAACAATGGTACCATCGCGTTCTTACTTTGCGCCTATCCGACAGAGATACACCGTGAATCACAAGCCCACATTTGATCCGAGGAGATCAGGAATTTTCGATATTACGTAGCAAGAGTAGCTATACACAAGTGACGTCACCCGAGAGCCCCACCGTTTTCGGTCCCCGTCGTCTTAATTTATTCGACAATGCGCCCGACCGTTTACCGAGGAACTCTGGGCAAAACTCCAATCGCTTGGACAGAGATTAAAGCGCCTAAGGACTCGGTGGGCTAGCGATTGAGTCGTTGATCGAGCGCACAGATTTCCCTCCTCTCTCTCCCCGGCTCTCCTCTCTTCTCATCGTGGTAGAGGAGCAGCAGCATGTAACGTAATCGTCGTGTGCTTCGTGGGGCTCGATGACGACATCCTGTTACCGGGTGAGAATCGAGCGGGCCAGGTTTAAAGTGTCGGATCAAGGTCGGATATTACAAGGAGGAGGCAAGGAAGGCAGGCACAGGCACAAGCGGCGAAGAGGGAAACCGTGGGGACGGGGACCTGTATGCCGACGTACGCGGCCACAGAGGAGACGTAAAAGAGCGGCGTTCAAGCCTGGCGTGGACGGCTAAGGCCTGGTTCAGCCGGGTCGTCGACCCCCTGCGGACGTTCACCGACAAGCGTTCGCCTCTATGTTACCGGTACTCGCGCCGCGCTCTGGACTCTAATTGACCGACAAACATGTTACGGGTTTGACCGTGGCGGCGAACGTTCATCGGACCGGGGAATCGCCTCTGTGTCCTTTTGGCCACTTCTTTTCAGCCAAGTGGCCTTCGACGGCTACCTGAGAGCGGTAGAGTTGCGGCAAGGCTCGTGTGAAAAAGTCTAGAGAGCGTAGACGATAGATTTCTGGGCTGGTGAGTTCAAAGGGTCGCTGGTTCTACTTGACGAAGGAATTTTTTTTTCAAGAAACTAGACACGGAAATTGAATGGAATATTTTTTAGGTGATAGGTGTATGTATTAGGTTGACGATGCTAATTTTTCTTTTTCGGTTAGAGAGTAGAGATTATTGCGAGATGTGTTGGTAATCAATTAGAGACGTGATTTTTCAGGTGTTTAGGTGTAACTTTGCGAATTTCGTAGGAATCGAGGTAGGAACTTTTTAAACGTAGAAATATCAGGAAATCGTTTCACCTATATATAAGTAGATAGAAGACGGCGGAGAAGCGTTTAATTAAATCGCGCTGCAGACTTAATCACCGGGATTGTAAAACAAATTACGGACGCGGTTACGAATGAATTGCCATTCGCGTCAACGTTTCATTTAGCCGGCAGAGTCGCCTTTTGTCGGGCAATTACGCGTTCCTCGTTACGGCCAAGGGACCGACCATCTACGACTCTTTTTTCCTCTCCTTCTTCCCGCGCTATCATTAACTTCGACCATAAAAATTATCCCCGGTCCCTTAACGTACACAACGATCTGTGGATAAAATAAAATAGGCATTGTTCCTAGGAATAAGGTTGTTGCTCCGCGTAGAAACTCCGACCATTCACGACACGCTCTAGCCCTCTGAGGCAGCGATGCGTTTCGGGTATTAACCTCTTCCGGAAGCGGGCCGTGCTTCAGCCAAGGCCACGGTTACGTTTCATGATTATTCCATGCGCAAACCTTCGGGGACCCAGCTCGTTCCTCGACCAGAATCTACGCTACGATCGTCGTCGTCTGGTTCAAGGTTCGAGACACTTGGAGAGCCGATTTTCCTGAAAATCTCCTCGAAAGATCGACGCAAAGTGGCACACCAGCGCGAAAAATAGTCGACTTTGAATTGCGCCTAGGATAGAATTTCGGTTTTCGAAACTTGCTCGATAGTTTCTCAGTAATTTCAGTTAACCTGACGTTTCTCCGAGTGACTCTGGATCATTTTATACAAAAGTTGGGTTAACTTAAATTGAACGAATGATTCTGGATCATCTGGGATGATTTACAGCGGGATATTATACGATACGAATGCGATGTCTTCTTGAATAATTCAATTACAGTGTTTCTGACGTGCTGGAGTTTGGAAAAAAAAAAAAGAGAATTCCAACAGGATCGGGGAGAACAGTTTTCTGACAGCATACGCAATGCAGAAAACCTTTCTGACAGGGAAAATTTGAAAATCCGCCGGAGAGAGACCTAGTTGCCCTCAACTTTGACCCAGTTTTCTAGATAGCACAGAGTGTAACCATCAGGAGCATTAAGAGCACCGCAGGAGGATCGACTGGCTCTCGTTTGTTTTCCCCGAAAAGCCACCACCTCCTCGTGTTACGATTATATTCGTAGAAGCCCTATCATCCTCGTCGTCGATCCACAACCCCTGCCAAACACATTGAAACCCATTCATCTTCCTCTTCGCGGTATTTATTACGTCTACGAAATGTTTAATAACTCCCCGTTATCTTATCGCCAAGCCTGACCATACCGGAGAAAGATACACATTCAGGTTCTCCAAACTATAAACGGTGTATGTATCTTTCAACCTCATCGACCGATTAGGATTCAATTACTTAACATACTAACTCTTCAACGTTCCGGTACACAGACAAAGCCCGCGATTTCTCGTTTCTTTCCAACGTTAGACATTTTCTAATTCGTACTTCGATACTTGACGATCGAGATCCAAGGATAATTGGCGGTAAACCGAAGAGGAAAGATTGTAGAATTTCTTTTTGGAAATATCAACCGTAAAATATGAGAAGCTAGGATTGAAAGTGCCCTAAAAGTGTAATCCTGTGAAACATGGGGTTAACGAGTAACCCTAAAGGCTGCAACTCGGTGCAGACCGTCGTAAAGAGACACGAGGAGGAGGAGAACCGTGGTGTGACACCATACGAAAGTGAGAAAGAACGGTGGAGAGGCTACTCAATTCACGGCACAGTTTTGAATGGAAGTTGCAGGAGGCAGCCATTACCGCAGAAGTCATTAGTGCCCTCGAAGC